TAAACCGAATAATTGAAGCAAGTTCTAAAATCTGACCTCTAAAAACATAAGCAGTAATAAATAATTAATGGCTGACTAAAGTATTGGAAACCGTATATGAAAAAATATGCGCGACGAAGTAGAAGCAAAACTTTGGTAAGCTAAGAACACAACCAACAGGGTATGTTATGCAAAATAACACAACCAAGCATGGTATATTAAGCCAAATAACATTCCAAGGCAAAAAAAACACTACCAAGCATGCTAAAGAACACTACCAAGCAGAGTTTGGTAAGTAAAAGAAAACCAAGCAAGATTCGGCCCCACGTGTATTCGGGGATCGATGCGCCAGTTTTTGTGGCCCACAACAGGTCCGCATTTTTGGGGCTGCATGACATGACCGATTACCCAACTACTCTGAGAGGCTTCTGCTCATTGCTCATAGCCTTTGGCTATGTACCTGTTGTTGATTGTTTAGTATCCACCATGGCCTAAGTTGTCATTTGATCACTAGTATTTTCAAAGTAAAAGTGTAATTAGATGCAGATTCAATGGAGTGTGAGGTTAATAATGTTGAATTACCCATGCATAAGTACTCTAAATTCATATTCAACAAAAAAATTGTATTAATCAGTAGCAAAGCCAAAGAACCATCTTTACTGCATTCCAAACTTAAATACGGGCAAACACACACACTATTGCATCCCAGTCAACAAAATTATAATTATAACATACAATCGTCATCAAAGACATTTTCCAAGACCCATTGGGTGAGCCTTACAGAATAACTTCCGACCTGAGAATCTTCTGATTTATTTTCCCATAAATCAAGGCTGCACGCCGCTTGGATGTGCCTCGCAATCTTCCGGTATGTTAACGACGCCGATTACATTGTTAATCAAATTAATTGGCATAAACGTTGCCATAAATTGCCAGTTTAAGGCGTAATTGTAACTGATGACGGCGAAGATAAAACGGGACTAGAACGACAGTAAACTGGGTAGGATCGGATGAAAACCTTAGAACTATTACGTTCTATGACTGAACATGGCTTATGCAGAAATGAAGGTTGACAATCAGAATTAGAGATCAACAGAAAAGAATCGTTGATGCAGATACAGACTTAAAATGTTATGCAAAAGAACGATTGGTTAACTAACTTTAACGATGCTTGATCAAAATCAAAAGTACAGCAAATTATCTTGAACACCCCTAGAAATATATTTGTGGAACAATGCGATGAGAATGACAAGAGTCAACAATACAAGGCAAGTGTGAAGACAAGGCACACAACCGGCAAAGTGTTTTAGGCTTCAATTACTGTGTCCCTCTATTATCGACCAAGCACCAAACATCAAAGGGGTTTCACCATTAATCAATTACCGTTGGGTTTATCACACGTGCTTGTCTCTCTCTACACATGCGATCTGATCTACTCTCAGCATACTCTTGTCAACATACAATTTATCTTTTAATTTCCGCAATCCATCCACCCTTTCCATTACGTGTTCAACCACAGAGACTCACACACGATTTCAAACACTCTTTCTTCTTCTCTACATGCCACTTTATCAATATTATTTTCTAAGTAGTACATTCACTTTTTCCGTCTACGCATCCAACCATTCACTCATTCCAACACAATTTAATCTACTATTCATCTTCTTCTTTGCATGCAATTTTGTCTATATTTCTTTCTACAGCACATTTTACTCTTGCCTTTTATACCTCCAAACATTCACTCATTCAAGCACAATTTCATCTACTCTTCATCTTCTCTAGATAACATTTTATCCACAATTCCTTTCTACAGTACATTCAATATTTTCTCCTATGCATCCATCCAATCTCTCATTCTAGCAAGGATTTACAAACTCTTTCTTCTTCTCTACATGTAATTTTACCTTATATTTCCTTTCTAAAGGACAACCACTCTTTCCTATGCATTCAACCACTCTCACAACCTAGCAAGATTTCATCACTGTCTAACACAATTTCATCCTTCTCACTGCAGTGCACTATTCTTTGTGGGCGTTTACATCAATCCCTTTTCATATACCAAACCCTTTTCTTCCACGTGTTAAATCGCTACTCCATCACACGTGGTTTCATCTACTCTACATGCGTTTTCAAATCCACCCTTTTTCACCGTCCAACCACTCTCCCCTACGATTCCATCATTCCCTCCTATATCAACCATCTGCCCGGTCGCATGCCACGGACCAACTCCGAATGTATTATTATCGGCTATGGGGTGTTAATGTTCTGCCCCCGGGCGGCCTTTATCACAATTACCCTTCTTCAAGAAAGTGAAACAAATGTCTCGAGCCCAGCGGGTGGTTCTCCCCCCCCTCGCGATGGCTATAAATACTCAGGCTTAGCAACACACTACATTACACAGACGGCGTTACATTCGTTACGCTTGAATTTTAACGATCTGTCCTCCCCCCCACCACTAGCAACTGTGGCCTGCAAATGGGGAAAATGGTGAAATGTTGAAAATGGCATAGTACTTGTACACAGAAAGACATTGCAATTTGTTGTCTTTTGCAGGTCACAGCATCATAGAGATTCTTGTGAATCGTTAACACCCAAAACATCCCAGAAGAAGAAGACAACATCAAATATATGAACCTGAAATCTACCAATTAGCCTATACCAACAAGCCAATCATAAACTGGTGACACTTTTCGCTCAAAACCATTTCCCGGAGAGGAGACGATAAAAACTTAAATTTACCGATTTTCGCTGAGTCAAACCATAGCCGTCTCTAGTAATATATTACTAGAGACGGCTATGGTCAAACCCACTCTGAACGAACCAACATGTCCATATGCAGGTAAATAACTTTCTGTTTTCTTAGGCTCAAAGCACTAAAATCATCCTAAACACACTTCCTACACGACAGAAAAGAGTCAACGACACACAAAACTGAAATTCACATATCTCTGGGTCAAAAATTCCTTTTCAAAAACCCACAGGGCCAATAAAACTATACTTAAACTCCTATAAGCAACCTTAATGGAACTAATAGAACTAAACGACTCATGCAAACGTAGAATAATAGAATGAACAGAGTTCTATTCTAGCAACACGGTAAAGCAAATGCAGTGACAAAAGAAAATAGCAACAGACTAATGATAAGGCAGCAATGAGGAAGTGGCAGACGGATGACAAGACAGTCATTCACACCGGATTAACATAAGACCTTTGTTAACATTCGGGGGCAATGAGTAGACATCCGGTCAGTAAAAGTGACCTACAGCACGGCTAACTAGGCTGAATCAACTGAATCAAAGGAACTTTCGTGGTGAAACTAAGATTTTAGACCTATGGAATGTCCTGGTAGAATGGTTTCATGTCAGAAGTTTTTAATGATCCGCATGCTGAAAATTGGGGAAATATGACGTACGAAAAGCATCAAGATTCCACCTTCAGATCTAGTTTAAAGCATTCGATTTAGAAATGAGTAAAATTTGAGAAGCGACAGCGGCTGGCAGAGTCCAGCAAAGCGACTAAATATAGAGACCCCGCAACCGCGCGCCCCGGTCAAGACCAGGGCTTATTTATAGAGGAACACAGCCCAACTGGGTGTGTGCGGTATCTTATCACGACTGATAAGATAGTCTGATCCTCCTGGGTGAACCTCTGATCATGCTGCAGAGATTTGTAGGAGGACGCATAGATGTAATGTAACCTTAGGCATATGCTTTAGGCCTACCAGTGGATTTCAAGAAAGTTGCGCGTATATATGTCTTGTTTCGTTATCCTAGGAAAAACTTGCTTTCCTTTTAAGGTTTTTTGGGTTGACCTAATCACTACCGAGGTCTTAAGATCAAATTTAGCTATCTTCTGTACCCAATAGTTTTTTGTTTTTTTTAGTCAATACTATAACGTATTTAACTGATTTTTTTATCGAGACAAATGCATTTTAGCCACAATGTATTTTTTGTGAATACTGCCACACTGGCAATGAAGAAATAACAAATTTCAACAAATAACTGATTCCTCAATGTGGTTAGCAAAAAAGTACACCACAAAACCATAGCTCCTTAGTTTTAAAATCTTTAATGGCAATTTTTCTTCATCGGTACAAATGAACTCCACTGACCACTAGGATAACACCGCAGTGGTCATCGCAACTGCAAATCTCAACAACCGATACCCCACTACCTGTGTCCAACAAAACAAACCAAACCACAAAACCATCGCAACGGAAGAGTTGATGGCGCGCCCTCAAAAAAAGGCGCGACGGACCCGGCGAGCTATGATTACCTTAGCATCGGGGTGTTCACATGGCCGTCATAATGATAAGTACAGTTATTATCGCTTCCAATGTCAGTTCATTGTTCGAGATAAGGCGTAATCAATGTTATTACCAGGACATGCCCGGCATCCCGCCACCGCTATTGTCAGGAAATACCCCATTTCGGGCGCACCCTGTATTCTTCTCGTGGAAATCCGTCGCGCCGCGCGCCGCTCGCCAGGTCTAGGACCGGGATAGTGCACGTTTATGGGCGAAGAGTGGGTAATTTTAGAAAATAGAGTAGAAATACTATAGGTCTGTAATCGTATGTATCGGTCGTATCTCCTGCAGCCTTGTTAAGGCGAACTATTGGTAAACGGTTGTAAGTGGCTCAAACTGGGCAGTTTGGATACAAAAACTGTTACTAAACACTATTCCAATAGATAAGTAGGTACTTTGAAACTAAACAGGGACAATAAGTCTTGTGTAAGTAATATATGGCCTACAATATGTTTTTAGAATACATTATTCACAAATCCGACACTCGTCAGAATCTCAGCAGACGCATTTGTTAACGCAAACTCATGTTGAGGGGAACGGAGGAGAATCACTCAAGTAAACGATAACTGAAGAAGAATGCATGAAATATCCCCGCAACCCTCACGTGCACAGAAGGGCGCCTGTTAAATGAAAATTGAGGAACGCTCACCGTCATTTTCACACCTACTAGCTATGTTTTGTAGGAAAGAAGGGGACCTCCGATTACCACAACGAGATGAATTCAAAACACTTTCACGAATGGTTTAAACGTGTTGTGGGACTCATGCCAAACAAGTCTGCTATAGTAATAGACCAAGCTCCGTACCACAAGCAAATAGACCCGGAAACTAAAAATCCTACAATGTCATGGTTAAAAAAAGACATCATTAGTTGGCTGCAAAAAAGAAACATTAGTTTACCCCCTCATTCAACTGATTACGCACAACTAACAAAAGCTGCATTGATTGAACATGCGAAGCCTCACTTCGGAATCCCCAAGAAAATACTTGAAAACATCATTGAAGATACCAACCCTGGTATAAAATTGATATGGCTCCCGGTAGCGCATTGTGAGCTAAATGCTATAGAGCTTATTTGGGCCTATGTTAAAAATAATATAGCCAAGATTAATAGAAGAAATGCTGCAGAGAAAGGAAATAGTATCACTGTTACAAGAGATTTGTGCAAGGAAGTTTTGCAAACTGTTACACCGGACCTGTGGAAAAAATGTATACGTCATGCTCAGAACATTGAAGACAAATATTGGGAAAAGGATCATCTATCAGACGAAGTTCCGCTGGCGCAGCCGATTATTGTTGACCTTCAAAACGATTCTGACTCGGACTCTGACACAGACTACGATTTTGACATCGAGGGAAATATTTCGGACTTGGAAAATTGAGAAAGACATGTACATACAAATAAAAAATACAAAAAAAAACAAAAATACAAAACACAAAAAAAATATAAAAATATAAAAAGAAAAAAAAATCAATTTTAAAGCTGCCATTGGAGGTCCAAAGCCCTCATGAGAAAACGCTGATGGGAATTGATTGTTAGTAAATTTATGTAAATTTAAAACTACTAAATATATAAACTACTAGCTGTACCCGCGGGCTTCGCCCCGTTTAACTTCATAAGTATTCGCATGGCTCATTCACGCCCTGGTTGAAGTTCGTTCGCTACGCTCACTCACCTTTAGGTTGGAGCTCGTTCGCTGCGCTCACTTGCCTTCAGGTTAGCTCGTTCGCTACGCTAACTCGCCTCCAGGTTGAAGTTCGTTCGCTACGCTCACTCACCTTTTGGTTGGAAATTAGCTGTTGTCATATATTAAAAAAAATTAATTGTGCTGCACCCTGTTGGTAATCCTTTTAACTTTTATGCTATTGAACATCATAGAACAGAACCAACTTGTTTAATTGAAACAGCTGTTAAGATTCATTAATTCCTTTTAAATATGAAAAATCATAAGATTAACATGGGGAACTACAGAGCCACTGGGGCGGAGCCCGAAAGGGTTTTTGAGATAAGAATATGCTTTAATGTTAATCGGGAATGTGAGCTATCATCATGCCAAATTTCAGCCCAATCCGTCCAGTAGTTTATGCGTGATTGAGCAACACACACACAAACACACACACAAACACACACACAAACATACACACAAACTCACAAACTTTCAGATTTATAATATTAGTAAGACAAGTAAATATTGATTTTCACAGTTGTTTGCCGTGAATACCGATGCAATGTCAGTGTGGTGGTCAGGTACACATCGGCAACGTCGCAGATTCGCTGCGCTCCCGCCCGGCTGGGAAATATCGTACAAACACCAGGCGGCCCGCTGCCAGACGCGGGAGAAATTTTTGTTTACAAATATAAATCTGTTTAAAAAACACCTTTGTTCGCATTATAAATCTATCATATTGGTGTTATTTCTTGTGTCACGACAAACACGATGGTATTTTGAACGAAATTTTTAGCGTCTTACTAACGATGTTAGCATAGGTTTTAAAAATTAACAGCAGCATAAAAACTATTGTGAGTAAAAATTTTAAAATGCATGGAAATGTTAACAATAAACCTACCAATAAGCCATAAAAATTTCAGAAAGATTGGCTCAGTGGTTTGTTCACAATTAATTTTTAAACTTCAGTGTTAGTGCAGAGTTCCTTAAAAACCGGTACTTTTTACGATCTTTCAACTATAAAAATTTTTCTGGTTAACGGAAAATTTTTAAATTGTTACCACGTAAAATGAATTTAAACAAGCTTACATTTCATTTTTGTTTCAACAAAATCGGATAATTCATCTCAGAGATATTTAGGCTCAAACTCGAGTGCACATATTTATTTCCCCGACAGTAAGTGTTTGGAGAACTCGAAATCGACGATATTTGACTAGCAGAGACGCCTGTCAATCTTTGTTGAAAGGGGGTTGTGAGTTTTATTGATTGGTTTAATACGTTCGGGGTTTCAATACACCGTTGTAGTAAAATTAATTTAGCTTAACAGATAATTATAAATTGTTTATACTGTATTTTAAGTTCGTCGTGGATAGCCTGTTATATTCTCCCATGATAATTGGGGTTGTAATACAATTTAATTTTGATTGCGTTTCTATATATTTTCACTTAAATCGACACGCCTATTCATGTGAATGAGTTAGATAAAATAAAGTTTAATCTAACAAATAAACTTCATTCAAATTACAGTATTACAGAATGACTTGTAAACAAAAGCGATTAAAACTAACCTAAAAATTACCTAACAAAAAACTAGCTAGCCAAGGTAATATTACTCAGTTTACTAGATATCCTACAATGAAGCAACTATTCCCATAAATCAGCAACAATAATAACAAATCCGACGATAATTACAGACGGCGGAAACCCGTCAACAAACAACAAACGGCTAATTTATGAAAAGGCGCAAATTAATATAATAATGGCGTCGGTCGCTTTCCTCGCTATGTGATGACGTCATCCGACCTTTACACCGCTCCCTCGCCTTGAGTGTGACCTCGGCCTTACGATTGGCTCATACTGGCATAGAGTATACACGTGACAAGGCATAGAGTATGCAAGCACGTGGTGCAAGACATAGAGTATAACAAGCATATATGAATATACGTTACAGTTCAGAGCATACAGGCAAATAAAAAAAATGGCGTTATGTATGGTATGGAAGCACGAAACAGAGTCAAGGTCACTGACTCGATGGCACATAGTATACAACCATCTGACGAAAGACATAGAGTAATAATGACTTCAAATGAACTCGTAAAAATGACACCGATGTGACCGGTTATGAAAGAATAAGATAAAAGACGTAAGAGTACTAGATATGACACGGATAATTCAAGGAAGTAATAAAATACACATTATTTTTTTGTAAAAAAAAGTATTGTCATCTTTCCCATAACAGACGTTTTCCTACCTTATTACCCACATTAGCCTATTTATTGTTTAATTGCAAAATATAGACAATGCTACTTTCAACAGATTAGACTTTGAATTTCTTTGGGAACCATCGCCAATTTAATGTTATCGATGACTTCGATTAAACTTCATTACTATATAAGGCGATACTCAATTTTTCAAATCGTAAATTGCACAAAATATTTTTTTTCAAGACCTAGTCACATTGATCCCTGTGTCTTTACTTATACTTTACCTATCTTACATCAAGTGAGATATATCAGCAGACTCGAGTCAATAAGCTATCTGCCCGAGGCAAGTTCTGTACACACAGATCACGTGGAGACACGGGGAAGCACAATACCACGCCGCCATTGTGGTGCACAATCAGCACAATATTTCAAAAAGCTGACAATCCCAGCTTTGTGATTGTGATGGTAAGGATCTCCGAATCCCCACACATCATTACTGCAGTCAGTCCTTGAACATCCTTCACATTTTATAGGTTTATTTGCGTACGTTGTGATATTGAATATAATAATGTAGTTTGAGAATTTAATATGGATTGAATTTTGTTGTATATGTGAGTGGGATTTACACGATTTATTAATGGACTGTTGTAAATAAAATTGATATTTAACTACTATTTTTTCTGATTTAAATACACATTTTTTTGTTCGTCATTTTTTTTTAACCCAAGTAAACATTTTTGTCCTAAACCCATTATATTAGCATAAATATATTACTTATTTGCACTTTGTTATAGGTATCCTCACCCTAAGTAAACTTTATACTGACTCTAGTATGCCCACCTAATACTGCAGAAGGTATACTCCTAACCAGCTCCTACCCCAGTATACCCACTTTATACTACAGTAGGTATATTCTAACCCCAAAGACCCACGAGTTCATCACAGGTGTCTAATGCAAGTAGGGTTGCTCGCCACGGCCCTTTGTATTCCATTGACTATTGAGTCTATTATTCTACCGGCTGCGGTCACCTTGGGGGGTGAGTTTTTCGTTAAACAAATGGTTTCGTCAGACTAAGTAAAACCACGGGGTAAGTTTCTCATTTGGACTATAGTCTGGGTTGTACATTTTGGATTCCCTAATCATTACTTCGCTGACAAAAACGTAATACATTTCCATATTAATTTGAACTTTTTAGTGAACAGTGTAAATTTGAGATGGATGAGTAATTTTTACTAAAATCAGCTGTTTCTTAATTATTATCGTTTCCCGAAGGCCTGGACGGTAAATAATCAGCTGTTTCTTAATTATTATCGTTTCCCGAAGGCCTGGACGTTAAATAATCAGCTGTTTCTTAATTATTATCGTTTCCCGAAGGCCTGGACGGTAAATAATCAGCTGTTTCGGAATTATTATCGTTTCCCAAAGGCCTGGGCGGTAAATAATCAGCTGTTTCTTAATTATCGTTTCCCCAAAGCCTGGTCAGGACGGTATAGTTTTGAATCATCAAAATGCAATTACTATTCTCAGGACTGATCCTGCAACCTTTTGATGGATGTAATATATTCCTTTCCAGGTTGAAAAGAGAGAGTCGAGTGGGAACTTCACGTCAAAACACAGGAAACAATTCATCAGTCAATCTCGACCCCTCGAGCGAAATCTAGCGCGGTAAATCGAAAACGCACAAACGCTGCCGCTAGCGTCAAATTGGGATATTGACAATGGATCAGGGAATATAACAAATATTTAAAATAACCGTCAAGCTTATCTCATACCCATTTATCAAAATAGAACATTAAATTGGGAATATAGCCCAATAACACTTAAACACCCGAAGTAGTGTAATTATTCTGATAACGTTCTGTTAGGTCCTAAAATAAATGATAATGTCGCTCGTTTACATTCTTAACGCTAATCATCCAATATTAATCGGTGATAAGAATGAATGACTTGCATTGTGAATAGTTAGGTGTAATTTATTGCTTCATTGATGCACAAGATTCAAACTCGTGTGTGATTTATGATAAACTTATTTTAATAAAACCACATCCTTGTATAAGTTAATGAACATTGTAAAAATACTAAACTTAGGTATCAATGAACAATTCCATGCATAAGAAACATAAATGGTAAGCATTTTATTTACCGGCTTATTTTCAAACAATAAATACCTACTGCAGAGCTACAACTGTTCGTTTAAGTCGGGACCAAACCTAAAAAAACATCTAAACACTTACTAGACAAATTTTACTTCTTGGAACGTCTAAGAACCTCAAGAAATAAAGTTGAAAGATATTGCTTTGTAAATATTTGTAAAAAACGGATTGATTCAAAATAAGTATTTTTAATTTGGTCGAAAATGATTTGACTGCCGTTTTTAGGTTTTGTCTAATTTTCACGTTGAACGTGCAACATTCTTTGTGTTCCTAAGAAATCATGCACAAACTTGCACATTAGGAACACAAAAGTAATGGTAGCCCATGCACAAGGGGAAATTACAACATAAGCCGTCC